GCTGAAATAGTTTGAAACTCGTGTGAAAATAAATTCAGTATAAATGTACAGTACCTACCTTGATATACAGAACAATCAGTCAATATCATTTCATATTCCAGGCAACACTATCAGTGTTTATTCAGTCGCATTTGAGGCCGAACAGCATCTGATATATACGAGGGTTGCCAAAGCGAACAAAACAATGTCACAAATTTGAGCGCCATACTCCGACAAATTGATACAATATGATGACGAATGTTGCACAGTTTTGTGTACATGTGTGTTCACAGCTTATATCTGAAGTATTTTTCGTAAAATTTGTTAAAACTTTGAGAATAAATCCATAAACAATCAACAAAACATGTATATTTTCAAGCAAGAAAATCGTAAGCGCCAGCGCTAATTGTAGTCAGCAACATAACGTTGTCGTTACTGCGCATGCGATGAATCTCCAAGAATCTTGGAGATTTCATCGTATTTTACCAGGGTCTTCCTCAGCTCACGCGCCACCACGAGGAAGACCCTGGGGACGAGGTTGGGCCTGCACGGATGATAGGTTTTCTTGGTAGTGGCGTTCGTATAGAAACGCAGGCTTCTGATTGGCTTACACTCGTTGACAAAATTACTAAAAATAGCAAATGTCAACAACAGCATTTTGAAGAATTTGAACTTTATTCATTTTAATATTATATATTATAGGACTATCGAACAAATAAAACTAGAAGTGGAGACCAAAAGCAGTAGCAAAGCATCACAGCAAAAAAGTCTATCATAAATGACTTGAATCTATCGCTTAAATCCAATATACGAAACTATAACAGTATTCTGAACTTCGTCTTCGGATTGACATCAGACTATAGTATAGTACATTTTGAGGTCGTCGTGGCTTCACGGATTATTCTCATTAGTGAGCAAGTCAGCAAGCGAAGGCATACAAAAGATAGCCAAATATGTACGAATAATTATATTGTTGATCCTCGCTGGCATGTCATTTAGATAAATATATATCGTACATTAAACGTTGTACTATTGCTGTATATTAACTGCTGACAATTTCGTCGTCGATACGGCTTCCACTATTGGCACACTCGTGATTTCGAAGAAATTAATAAATACATGCTCATTTATCATTTATTTAGACCACAGTTAGTAAAATTTTAAACGTATTCGGTCAGGCCAAATCCCAATCTATCTGACCGTATTTTAGTAATAGCTTCAAAATATTCAGAACATTGTTCTTTCAGTCGCACATAGTACAAGTATTACTGTACATTCAAAGCCAATGGTAGTATTTTATTCGGCTTTATATTTGTATGTGTATTGATATCTATTTAATATTTGAATTCTATATTTTTCCGAGTAATATATTGTGCGGCCCGCTAATGTTTTGTATTATTGTTCATGTTGCACAATGTACACGCCTTGCGTCAATTTGACAGTTGACAGTTTATTTATCGCAGTCGACGCTGATTGGTTAGCGTTTAGCAGATGCGAAAAGGGGATGATCATCCTCGTTCCCAGGGCTTCTCGGCTGCCTGCGTTGCCGTAAGCCCTGGGACAAGCCAAACCGGAACACCACAAATTCTGGTGTTTTCCGGAAGTAAACGCGCTCTGCTGCAAGCTAAAAATGCTGACTATGCACTAATTTTTACTGAGGAGTGGAGACGTGTTGGTGAGCAGAAAATATTCGATTTTTCTTTTGTTTCGATGTATTTTCCACCATCAAGGGAATATGTGCAGACCACCTAATGGAATTATACATATTGGGGTTTTATATTTCGTTATATCGTTAATATTCGTCAAAATGCAACCATATTTCGGTTTCGTATTACATGTATCAATTTTCATGTATGATGTAAACATAATCGAGTCGAAATGTGCTCGAAGTGGCCGCTGTGATTCGAAACATCATGGGTTCTTGTACAGATGACCTGTTTCAACACGCGCTTGTAAAGTCACTTCAAAGACTGGACAAAGCCGGACTGGAAATTAAAGAGAAGTAATTCGAAGCTTTATCGTCCATCGTATGTTGTATATTAAAAGAACAAGAACGACATGCGACATGTGAGTCTGTTTACTAATTACTGGGTTACAACAACGACAATAACAATGAATCACCTAACATTTCAAGAAAATATAAATTATAGATAGATGTCATGTATGACGCCATGAGTTTTGGATTTGAATTGCTAGAATTAAATCTATATTATGTATACAAAATCATGCGTGCGTAAATTTGAGCAATAAAGCACAAGGTGTTTGTTTGGCCATATTCCCATCATGTAGTATGAATATTGAACACCGTTTTACTGTATATAGCACGTTTGAAACGTTATTTCCATGCAGGATAATCCTGAATCCTTCACCGATTACATGCCGTGGCAAATGAAGAAAAATAATTATGTAAAATAATTAACCTAATATGTCTTTGGCCATGAATGCAACTCACTATGCTGCTTGATACATCTGACAGTCAAAAACTATGTGCATGACTGTATGGCTCAATGTATGTTAATTGTTTCAGGGAAATTTTTGTTTTCAGATTAAAGTATAACAATATTTTCTGCATTCCAGTATATTTTAATCGACATGCAAGTGCGCCTTCTGTTTCAGATAGGGGCCAAATCATTCGAGGCCAAATGGGATAGCCAATGATTGGAGGGTAATGTTAGCAAATTTGACTCCCATACATAATGTCAAGTTATCACTCGTCAATTTTTAAATTTCTTACAGTTTCACATCAGGGAGTTCATTGCCCCCCCCCCTCATTATCCAGAAGTGTGACTAAGTGTTTTCTAGTATCTATCCAGGTGTCCAATCTAAATCTCCATCACAACAGGATGTATACCTGAGTGATGGTAAGGGAGGTGGGGTTAACATTCTGATTTATCAATAGATTACTACACATTTCCACATTAAAAATATGAAAAGTTTTCCAGTTCAATAGACTGTATCTATAGCAGGAGGCTTAAACCAGAATTTCAGAATACAAAGCAACTTTTATGTCATTTTTGTAATGGTTTAAAATCAATTTTTATACAGACATGGTAGGGTGTTTCCTGGCTAGAAGCCTGCATATACATATACAAATTTTCAGTTTTGTCAATAATAATAGTTTATTTTATAATTTCAATTCTTACAAGATTTGCAATAAGTCAACAGAATAAGTATTCTATTCTGAACTGTTGACAGGAAACAGTGTAAATACATGATCTCATCCAATATGACACAAGAATTCAAGACCCCTACCTCGGGCAAAGCAGGGGCATTCACTTAATTTGGTGTGTGAAATTCAGTGAAGTCCCCTGCAGCCAGAACAAAATGTCAAGGTAAATTTCTTCGGTCCTATCATCCCCAGGTATTCAATTGGAATTTTTACTTGAAATTTCCCAAACCATTCCTTTACTGTTCTGTAAAAGCCTTTCCTAGCCGACTGCTTTATTTCAGCATTTATATAGCCGACTGCTTTATTTCAACATTTATATAAAAGACTAAGTGACCCCCTCCCCCATGACCTCATTCATTCCTCGACTTGGACACTGAAAGTAAGTGTCTTCCCTGTTTGCCAAGAAATGATAAACCAGTGAATAAGAGGCGATTGTCCTTGCATTCCCCTCTGGTATGCCAAAGGTGCAAGGATTCAAATGACTGGTGAAATTGAATATGCTTATAAGCTTATTCACTGTATTTAATTAAAAGCTATTAAAATTACTCACTAATAATACAACTGAGAAAATTCAGAAATAGTAAAATACACCTATAATATTCTATATGCTATATTTAAAAATTCCAATTGGCCATATTAATATAGGGCCATTTTAATATAGGGCCATTTTAATATAGGCGGGTAATAGGCCAAGTGACCAATACCAAAAGCATAATAATTAATAAAACACAATATATTACACCATTAAAACTTTACTATCGTAACTATATATTTTTAAACATTTTATATTTACAGTGTGCTTAAAATTTTACAATTATACTTGAGCACAATGTTTTAATAATAGACAACTTTATAACAAGAAAATGTTAAAATGAAGAAATTTTTTAATGGCTTCATAATTGACGTTTCTTCGATATTGTTGCTTACTTCTACTTTATAATTGTCCATTCTGTTATTTTCTTTCTTTCTGTTTGCAAATTATCTCCATTAATCCATAGAAAACAAGCAGTTTACGTTTGTATTTCTTCGTATTTCGAACGCGCACTCCTTGAAGGCAGCCATATTGCAAATATAAACATCCACTTGACGAATAAACTTTTCATATTTCACTCTGTTTCCAACGACCAATCAAATCACTTCTGCCTCGGCTTGTCCCAGGGCTTACGGCAACGCAGGCAGCCGAGAAGCCCTGGGAACGAGGATGGTTTTGGCCCGTCCGTGGATGACAGAATGACATAAATCGAGATTGTAGCAACCTCGTACCCAGGGCTTCTGCGCTTATTGAGCAATAAGCGCAGAAGCCCTGGGTACGAGGTTGAGATTGTAGCGGCTATAAACTCGGCGGTCACGTGGTAAGCACACCACGTGTAGAGATTAGTGTGCTGCCGAGCTACGCTCGGCAGCAACTAATTGTTTAGTTTACAAGATGGTAATAATAGAATTATATTTATCTTATATTTTGTGAAATTATTTTCATTTAGAGGATGATGCAAATAAAGAATTGAGAAATAGTAGTATATGAGTTTGACACAGTCATCCCCAGGGCGAAGGGAGAGAGGGCGTGGAAACGCCAATACATCGAGCGTCCCCATCCGTGATGCGGGCCCGCTTGGCCGGGGGTAAGACGTTCTAATCATAGAGATTATAAGGTTCTCATTGTATACAAATATGGCTACGCGTATGAGGTTGGGACGCTCGATGTATTGGCGTTTCCACGCCCTCTCTCCCTTCGCCCTGGGGATGACTGTGTCAAACTCGTATACTACTATTTCTCAATTCTTTATTTGCATCATCCTCTAAATGAAAATAATTTTACAAAATATAAGATAAATATAATTCTATTATTACCATTTGTAAACTAAATAATTAGTTTTACCAATTATAACCGATTTATTATTTCCCAGGGCCGTAGCAACGGGGGGTGGGGGAAGGGGCAGCCCTCAATATAGTCTTTAAAATACTGACAATTGATTAATTTTAAGCGGCTACATTACCTATGACAAACCGAAAAAAGAATCATATTACCCATATACGCCTACGCCCATTTAGTTCTTCTAAATTGTAAGCAAATTAATTGTAAATTTCGACGTGCTGAAACTCTGTTTTCTGACCATCAGAATTCTGTCAAAACTTCCCCCAAAGTCCACGAAATGGCATTTCAGAGACTCTAAATTTAAAAATTTCCTCGGGCCTTCGGCACTCGCTACCCCGTTATCAAAAAGAACTTCCTACGGAGTGCGGAACTGCACGCTTCTGTAATATGTCTGTGCGTAAAATATGAGTACTTTTGTTTGTAAATTGCGTTTTCATTTTCCGGATAGCAAACACCTTCGTGGCTTCGTATGCCATGAAATATTCGGAAATTTCTTTCGTCATTCGGAAATTTCTGGCCTACACCCCCCAACTATGCATTTTTAGCTACGGCCCTGCCGTCTACTATTAGATCAGTGGTCCCCAATCACCTCGCCTTCGGCGAATAATTGTTAATTGTTTTGCTTGCTTCGACTTGTAAATTATTTTGACTCAGGCACTCGGCGTAAGGTTTAGTAAAGTTTTAAGCCCTGTAAAGGCCATAATTTAGTGTATAAAATAACGTGACTGCACTTCGTGCGTTGTTCACTCAATGAACTTTGACCACTGTAAGTTCTATATTTTAATTTATTATAAAGTTTTGGTTTCTTAGTTTAATACTGTGTATACAATGTAGTAAATGCGCCTAGCAGTATTAGACTTAAATACTTAATAATATGAAATCAAATAGCAAAAACTTGTGTTATATAATTTAACTGTACGTCTTAATAAGAATGCTTTGTCGTTTGTATTTATACGCGTACTAAAGCAGCTCGTATTAAATTCAACAAATTCCACTTGATCTTGAAAATATTATATATTCTTGCTTATGATTTAGTGAATATTACTTCCATAAAGGCATAAACATTAACATTAACACGCCTATCTGTAATCTGTGATTGCTCTTGAACCCGTGCATGGTCTTGGCAACAAATGCATTGGCCATTGCTTTTTCTCAGACACTCACGGCATGAATCGATTCCGTATTCCCTAACAGTCTGACCACAGTGCTCACAAGTCGCCGGCTCGCTGCGAGTAATAACTGCATGCTTTATGTAATTTTTACTATTTTTAGTTCTAGTTGCTCTTGATGCCCGCAACAATCTCTACCTTGCAGGTACCCTTACCAGTACAATACATTTTATCGGGGGCAAAATTTTGCAAGGCGGGGGGGGGACATTTTGCCAGGGGGGCCGGGCCCTCCGGTCCAAGCCCTGACTACGCCTCTGGCCGATTGGCCATTTACTGCTCTATTCTATCTCATCTGGTTCCGAAGTTATGCGCAAAAATGTGCAAAATATAAATTGCTGATTCAGCACAACGTGTGACGTCATTGGTTGGGTAAGTATGTTTATTGAATAGTAAACTGAAGCATAGCTCAGTTATTATTGGCTCACATCAAATGAAATTTTGCATACAGATAGTACATGATGAGACGCATGGGAAAATACTTATAATTTTGTTGTCAAGGCAACACAGTTGTTCCCAGGCCCCTTACACTGATTTCGAATAACTAGTTGCATTTATCTATGTGTATGTCATTTTCGAATTATTATCATCCAAGTAAACTTTTGGCATGGTACACATACTTCTGATATTATTTTATTCTTATAAGTACAATGAATAAAGCTGTTTTATAAAATTGGCGCAAGGGGCCTGGGAACGACATTGTTACCTTGGCAACAAAATTAGAAGTGTTTTTCAATGCGTCTCATCATTTCAATCAGTATGCAAAATTTCATTTCATTTGGGCCCATAATAACTGAGCTATGCTTCAGTTTAGTATTCATTAAACATACTTACCCAACCAATGACGTCACGCGTTGTGCTGAATCAGCAACTTAATATATTTTGGACATTTTTGCGTATAACTTCGGAACTAGATAATAATAATAACAGTCTTTATTCATACTCAAGAACACCCGTCTGTGAGTTTACATTATAAAAATATATAAGATAAAATGATTGATATCTATAAGGTAATAACTAGATATATACAGTTATGGATAAAAATATTAATAATGTTAAAAAGGTAAAGGTTAAAATTGGTTAAACAAAGTTAAACAAACATCGATTTACAAAAGAACTTTTAAATCGCTCTGTTCTCACTAATGGAAGTTCAAACTCGTGTCCCCTTGGCCTAAGGTGTCTATTTAATTTATCTGGTAAAAGCTCCTGTAGTGCATTATCTTTATTATGTATTACTTTATCCCAAAGTTTCTTGTCCCTTTTGATGCTTATCTCCTTAATATTCAATTTTTCCGATATGTAACCATTTCTGTGAGCGCGATTGATGAATTTGTCTATTTGACTAATGTATTTATTGAAGTATGCGCCTCCCCAAAGTTCTATGCCGTAAGTGATTATAGGCATAATTAAAGTGTTAAACAGCATGTCCAGTTGTTTGATTGGGAAGCCATAGTATTTACAGACACGCATTATGTACATTCTTGCACTGGCTTTTTTCAACATTTCATCAAAATGCAAATCCCACTTGGAAGGGAGATCCTGTAATGTAATTCCTAAAATCTTTAACCACGTCCTTCGTTTAATAAATGGAAAAGGATCAGGCAACAGCGTAGGGATATTTCTCCTAACAATCATTTCATACGTCTTTTCCATATTTAAGGACATTCGATTATTTTCAGACCATGTTGGTATACTGTCCACTTCGGCTTGGGATGTATCTCCGTTTTCATTCCCTGGTACTTCTAATGTCATGTCATCCGCGAACTTAACTAACTGGTTCATGGGGTTAACTGTTTTGATGTCATTCACCATGATCGAAAAGAGGATAGGACCCAGAACTGTTCCTTGGGAAACACCTCGATTAATGTTCAAGTATTCAGTTTCTATTCCATCAACCACTACCCTCTGTTTCCTATCCTCCAAAAAACTAATCAGCCAATTAGTAACATATGGGTTGATGGGGAGCTTCTTAAGCTTCTCACATAAAATATCGTGTGGAACGCTATCGAATGCTTTGCGAAAGTCAAAAGATAATACTCTGACATATTTTGCATCTCCTTCTAACCATCTTAACCATGTGTGTTGGCACTTGATCAGAGCCATAATCGAATTGTGACCTTCCTTGTATGCAAGCTGATCTGAATCAATAGCGTGTCTTGTAACATGTGCTATCTCAGTTTTGAACACACTTCTTTCAAATAATCTCATTATAATATCTGTTAAAGAGATTGGTCTTAGTTGATTAAGAGAGTTTAAGATAGATTCTTTAGGTACTGGTAGTACATTTGCATGTTTCTACATTTTAGGAACTTTGCTAAGTTTCAATGAAGTGTTAAATATATTTGTTATGGTAGGGGCAAGCTCAAATGCAAATTCCTTCCAAAACCAGTAAGGTAGATCATCTGGCCCGGATGCTGTTCGTTTTAGATTTTGTAAAAGGTGTAGAGTAGTATTTATAGAGAGCGAAGGAACCCTGGTGCCATCAGGGATCTCGACAGGTTCTGGAGCCGCGTACTGAGGATCCGAGTTTATACTTTGAAAGTATACATTTATCTCACTAGGATCAAAGGCTGCACTGACAGATCGACTCTGATTATTTCTTCCTGTAATACTGTTCACATTGGACCACCACTGTTTTGATCCGGTTTTCTGATTTTTGTTCTCTTGTTTGACGGCATTAGTTTTTGTAACTGGTTCTCTCGAATTAGCTTGTTTATCTGGTCTTGTAAACGAGCGTGAGATTCGGAATCGCTCTTCTGTATAGCTCTTTTCCTTTGCTTTAGCAAATGCTTTACAAGGGGTGACATAAACGGTGGGTCACGTGAAGAGGTTCTAACCTTAATTAGTGGGAAACACTTTTCAAATATCGGCCACATCGTTTCATAAAATTTCAGCGTCATTTCATCTGGAGTTTGCCCATCCTTGGTTATCATATTCCAGTCTACAGTTCCTAATTCATGTAACATATTTATTTTCTTATGTTGTCTTACATCTCTAAAATAGGAATTTTTTCTTTCTGCTTTAATTACATCTCGGGGATAGGTTATTACCATATCATGATCAGATTTTACTAAGCTTTTCACTACTTTAACTTTTTTCCAATCGGGAGGAGCGTTCGTAATGAAGACATCAAGTATATTTTGACCCCTTGTGGGAACTTTAACAAGTTGGATGAGCGACAGCTGATTGAGCAGATTTCGAATATTTAATTTATTGATATCACCAGCAATGATTATTCTGGAGTTTGGTTTAACAGACAGTATTTGTTCGCATGTGTCTATCAAATATTCAATTAGGTCATTCTCATTATAATCGTGATCAGGAGGGTGGTATATAGTTCCAACATAGACATTCGAGTTTTGTGTGTCAATTTTTGTCCATAGACATTCAAACAAATTGTCCGAGTTTGGCATTATCTGCATTTTCCAATCATTTCTACAAATAGTCGCCACACCGCCCCCTCGACAGTTTGTTCTGTCTTTTCTTATGATAGAAAAGCCAGCGGGACAGACAAGATGATCAGGTATAATTGGTTTCAGCCATATTTCAGAGATACAGCATATGTCAATGTCATTACACTTCAGATCCGCATAGAATAGAGCATTAAACGGCCAATCGGCTTATTTTTTCATGCTCTTTCAGATGAAGCAATAAGCCAATACCCTTTAAATCTATTTATCTACCATCCTCGTTCCCAAGCCCTGGGAACGAGGATGCCTGCGTTGCCGTAAGCCCTCATTCTCGTACCCAGAGCCCTTCTTACGCGCGGTGCGACGAGGGGCTCTGGCCAAATCCATATTCCGAACTGGCATCTGATTGGCTAGTTCTAACACCGGACATTGTTTTCTTACCATGTTTTTATGAGGGTCTTAATGGGGGTCTATGGGTGTCAGTTGTCAGCTAAAATTTAAGCCAGTTGTCAGTTGTCAGTGCGATATATTGCAAGCTGTCAGTAGTCAGTTACTGCAAAAAAGCTGACTCATGGTTTTTTCATTATTTCTCAGTTGTCAGTTAGGACATTTTGTCAGTTGTCAGTCAAAAATTCAGGCAAATGTCAGTAGTCAGTTAACCCCATTCAGACCCTCTTTTATGGTATCCGGTTATGGATTTGGCCAGAGCCCCTTGTCGCACCGCGCGTAAGAAGGGCTCTGGGGACGAGAATGACACTAGCCTGCGTGGCAG